CTTTCAGGGATGAAGATGTTCACATCCTGGACAGAGAGGAACGATGGTTTGAGAGAGGAGTAAAGGAGGCCATCTTTGTGAAAAGAAACCGTCCATCATTAAACAGGGGTGGAGCCTCCGTGTTCAACTGTCCCCCTCTTACAATGCTGTGATTGCTAGTATCACTCAGCCCTCTGTGAACAGTAAACAGCCATCAGGTGCTAATGATCCATTGTTAGGCTGATGGTCCTTCTTGAGCATGTGATCCGCTGGTTCTGGTTGTCAGCAGCAAACTGGTTGATCCACTCTGAGAAGGTGCTATTTAAGAGCCTGAGCTGAATACAGCTCCTCAGACTGAGGAAGTCCTCAGGATGAGAGACGAAACATTTCTACATGATTTTTTGTTGTTTTGTTTTGTTTTTGAACGTCCAGAGGACCAGACAACTTTTTTAAAACATTCATATAAAATGAAAAGTAAATAGAAGAAATAAAATCAAATAAAAAGAACTAGATGAAACCAACAACTGAAGAAACAACAGAAACTACCAGGGCCGCAGACACACCTGGACAGGTCTCAGTCCATCACAAGGACACCTGGACGTAGGTTCACCTGCTGAGAACTGCACCGCACCTTTGCTCATGTCAGAACCACTTGTGGTTCTGGTGAATGTGAGCAGGTTCGGGCTGACTGAACCTGTCCGACAGCTCCAACAGACATACCTGAGCAGGTGAGGAGGGGCGGGGCTCTGTTGTCCCACTGTTTGTTGTTGAGCTCACACACCCTGACAGGTAACCTCACCTGTGCGCGCAGGATTCACGCTTCCATCGTGGTGCCTTCAGGGTCCAGCTGGGCCAAACCAACCTGCTCGCAGTGCTGCTGTCCAGGTGTTCTTACTTGCAGAGGGGACAGTGGACTCCAGGGCTGTTGGAGATGACGAGAAGGGTTCAAAGAGTTCTTGCAGATGTTCCACAGGTTCTGCTGTTCCTGGGAAAGCCTTGAGGTTTTTCTCAGTCTCCAGGATAACTTCAGAGGTTTTGGGAGCACCAGAACTTCCAGAGAAGGTTCAGGAGTCGCTAGTTGTTTATGGAGTTCCTACAGAAGCTCTTAGGGTTCTCCAGAACTTCAGTGAAGCTGAAGGTTGGGTCAAAGGTTCTTCTGCTGGTGTCAGCTGAACTCTGAGTCCACCTGGTTTTCTGGTGTGATCCTGGACCTGGAACCAGACACCACTTTGGATCTGGGCTCAGATCAGAGTCCAGTTTTTTTCACCTCATCTTTACCATCAAACATGTGATTGGACAGAATGATCCGTGGTATTGTCCAATCAGAGTGAGGGTCAAAGTTCAGACGTGGAACTTCAGGGTCTCACACAGCATGGGAACTTTGTGTTTCTGAGAACAGACGTTCTCTGGAATGATGAAGCAAGTCCTGTAAAGCAGCCTGGACTAGTTTCTGTTGCAGGTCCACTTCACAGCCAGGACACCTCAGAATCACAGGATGGACTACAGGTTCTGGTCCACGTCACAACACGCTCAGAAACAGATCAGGAGCTGACTGGTACCATCATCTACAGCCGAGTATGGTCCAGTTTCAGTTCCAACTTCAAGACTGGATCTGAACCAGACTGGACTTTAAACCAGACCCAACCCTGAACAGTGAACGCATCACAGCGACCCCTTCACTGACAACAGGAAGAACAAGTGTCAACATCTAAAACACAACTTCCTCTCTGTACTGGAACAGGACACACAGAGTGATGTTCTGCCGGCTCTCAGAACCTTCAGCTCACCTGTCGGTGTGGGGGGAGCTCATGGTGCGGTTCTGACCCGTCAGTCTGACCTGCGGGACGTCAGCGTGTCCTCCTCTCTCTCCGGTGCAGTTCCAGTCTGACTCTATGTAACTCGCCCTCTGTCTGCTCAACGGGTTCAGCTGCATTTCACCTGAGTGCTGCTCTCTGATTGGCCAGAACTCACCTGCCCTGTGGAGACAGGTGAGCTGCTCCTTCTCTCCATCAACATCCACCAATCAGCAGCTAAAGCCGTTTAAAGCAGGAAGAGGAGCAGGTGTCTCCAGGGTCCTAGTGCCTGCATCTACTACTCAAGATTTTATTTTGAAAAGCTCCAGATGTCAACATCCATCTGCTGTGTACTGACAGCTGAGAGGCAGGGGACACCTGGACAGGTCTCCAGTCCATCAATCAGTCCATGCTAATTTAAATGTTCATGTTCCTAGAACAACTGGCCGAGGTGGAGGAGCAGCTTCTATTTTTCAGTCAGGATTATTGATTAATGCCAAACCAGTTATTAGTTATGATTCTTTTGAATCGCTGTCCCTCAGTCTTTCTCATCCAAAATGGAAATCAGAAAAGCCACTTTTACTAGTTGTTATATATCGTCCACCAGGCGCTTACTCTCAGTTTTTGTCTGAATTCTCAGAATTATTAACTGACTTATTATTAAATACTGATAAAATCATCATAATGGCTGATTTCAATATTCATGTGGATGTTGAGAGTGATAGTTTAAGCATAGCCTTTAATAATTTAATAGACTCATTTGGTTTTACCCAAAACGTCTGCACATCTACTCATTCTTATCATCACACTCTTGATTTAGTTCTGACCTATGGTGTAGAGATTAAGGACTTGGTAATAGTTCCTCAAAATCCTGCTCTGTCCGACCATTTTTTAATAACTTTGAGTTTACATTAAATGACTACACAGTTACTGAGAGTAAATTTCATCTCAGCAGGTGCTTATCAGAAAATGCTGTAACCAAATTGAAACAATCTCTTCCATCAATGTTTTCCTCTGTCTTGCAGAGTAATGCATCAGAGAACAGAGACTTAGATCATCTAGTTGATCATCTTACAACTTCAATGCAAACTTCACTTGATAAAATTGCTCCAGTGAAAAAGAAAGTAATCAATCAGAGGAAACTGGCTCCTTGGTTCAATTCTGAGTTACGTACTTTAAAGCAGCATCTAGAAACCAGGAGAGAAAATGGCGCTCTACTAATGTTGAAGAATTTTATTTAACTTGGAAAGATATTCTGCTAACATATTAAAAAGCTCTCCGTAAAGCTAGAACTTTACATTACTCATCTTTAATAGAGGAGAATAAAAATAACCCTAGGTTTCTGTTTAGTACTATTGCTAGACTAATTAAAAGTCCCATTTCTGTTGAACCATGTCTCCCTACAACTATAAGTAGTGATGACTTCATGAGATTCTTTATAAATAAAATTATTTCAATTAGAGAGAAAATTCAAACCATCCTTCCTTCTACTATCTCTAGTCCCCTGTCAAATGAGACAACTTTAAAAATTTCACTAGAGCCTGATTTATGTTTGGACAGTTTTTGTCCTGTTCAGCTCTGAATTGTCAAAAATAATAACCTCATCCAAACCATCCACATGCCTGCTAGATCCCATCCACATGCCTGCTAGATCCCATCCCAACCAGACTGTTTAAAGAGGTATTTCCACTAATTAATGTCCACATTTTGGATCTACTTAATTTGTCTTTAATGGGTGGTTATGTACCACAGAGTTTAAGGTTGCTGTAATTAAACCTTTACTTAAGAAGTCTGACCTTGATTCAGAAATTCTGGCCAACTATAGACCTATATCTAATCTAACTTTCATCTCAAAAATTCTAGTGAAAATAGTTGCTTCACTTTGAGACAACAGCTCTTTTATTTTGAAAAGCTCCAGATGTGAGTATACTGATGTGACAGAATAAATCCCCGTGGTGTCTCAATTCTTTAATTAAATCAGGAGAACTAGAAAACCCCAGCTGGCTTTAGTGAAACAAACTTCTGGACTCCCTGAAGGAGAAAATCTTGTGAACATGAAGAGAGACATCCAAAAAAGTTCAATCTGGTCCTCTGGACATCCAAAAAAACAAAAAACAAAACAAAGCAAAAAAATATAGAAACGTTTCGTCTCGCATCCAAGAGACTTCCTCAGTCTGAGGTGCTGTTTTCAGCTCAGTCTCTTAAATAGCACCTTCTCAGAGTGGATCAACCAGTTTGCTGCTGACAACCAGAACCAGCTGATCACATGCTCAAGAAGGACCATCAGCCTAACAATGGATCATTAGCACCTGATGGCTGTGACACATTTTACTGACCACATCAACTCTGTGGATAAATACATCAAGTTCACATGAGAAGATGTAAAAAATGGCAGGTTGGCTTTCTTGGACTGTGAGGTCTCAGTCTCTGATAGAGGACATTTGCAAACTGAGGTGTACCGCAAACCCACCCACACAGACCAGTATTTGCAGTTTGACTCCCATCACCCTTTGGAGCACAAGTTAGGAGTCATCAGGACTCTGTACCACAGAGCAGACAGCGTCCCCACTAGCTCAGGAGCCAGGCAGAAGGAGAAATCCCACACAAAACAGGCTCTAGAGCAATGTGGATATCCTAACTGGGCCTTCCTGAAAGCAGAAACCCAAACAGGACTCCAGTCAGCCATCAGGTGAAAAGGAGGAACCCAGACCCAGACCAGTGGTCATTCCATATGTTGAGGGGGTATCAGAGAAACTGAGACGTTTATTTTCTAAACATAACGTCCCAGTGGCTTTTAAACCCCAAAATACATTAAAGACTGGTTCATCCCAAAGATCCAGTCCCCCGGCACAAACAGAGTAATGTTGTGTATGTTGTTCAGTGTCAGGAGGGTGATCAGTCTTACATCGGGGAAACTAAACAGCCACTGGCCAAAAGGATGGACCAGCACAGAAGATCAACATCATCAGGCCAGGACTCTGAGGTCTACACTCATCTCCAGGTCAGAGGTCACTCTTTCAGGGATGAAGATGTTCACATCCTGGACAGAGAGGAACGATGGTTTGAGAGAGGAGTAAAGGAGGCCATCTTTGTGAAAAGAAACCGTCCATCATTAAACAGGGGTGGAGGCCTCCGGGTTCAACTGTCCCCCTCTTACAATGCTGTGATTGCTAGTATCACTCAGCCCTCTGTGAACAGTAAACAGCCATCAGGTGCTGATGATCCATTGTTAGGCTGATGGTCCTTCTTGAGCATGTGAGCAGCTGGTTCTGGTTGTCAGCAGCAAACTGGTTGATCCACTCTGAGAAGGTGCTATTTAAGAGCCTGAGCTGAAAACAGCACCTCAGACTGAAGAAGTCCTCAGGATGAGAGACGAAACGTTTCTACAATTTTTTGTTGTTTTGCTTTGTTTTTTGTTTTTTTTTAATGTCCAGAGGACCAGATTTAACTTTTTTAGATTTTTCTACCTGGATTATTGAGCATGCATCAGGACAAATGAAGAGAGACAGATTTAAACAAAAAATAATAAGGTTTATTGTGAAGGACTCTCCGCTGAACAGTTTTATTTTGAAGGGTAGGGTTAGAACATCCCTTGGAACTGTTTATTGGTTTGAAAATGTTTTGTTCGTTGTTTTGGATCTTCAAACAGGAAGTAGAAACATGTTTATGGTCTCCAGAGGGATTATAACACAACTGGACCGGTCTAAAAATAGTTCAATCTGGTCCTCTGGACATTCAAAAAAACAAAAAACAAAGCAAAAAAATCTAGAAACCTTTTGTCTTTCATCCTGAGGACTTCCTCAGTCTGAGGTGCTGTATTCAGCTCAGTCTCTTAAATAGCACCTTCTCAGAGTGGATCAACCAGTTTGCTGCTGACAACCAGAACCAGCTGATCACATGCTCAAGAAGGACCATCAGCCTAACAATGGATCATTAGCACCTGATGGCTGTTTACTATTCACTAGTATCACTCAGCCCTCTGTGAACAGTAAACAGCCATCAGGTGCTAATGATCCATTGTTAGGCTGATGGTCCTTCTTGAGCATGTGATCAGCTGGTTCTGGTTGTCAGCAGCAAACTGGTTGATCCACTCTGAGAAGGTGCTATTTAAGAGACTGAGCTGAATACAGCACCTCAGACTGAGCAAGTCTCTCGGATGAGAGACGAAATGTTTCTTCATTTTTTTTTGAACGTCCAGAGGACCTGACTAACTTTTTTTTAGATTTTTCTACCTGGATTATTGAGCATGCATTAGGATACAACTGGACCTGGTTCTGCTGGGACAGCTTCAGATGAACCCAAACAATCGGCAATTAAAATCCTTATTAATAGAAAGGTTTACTGTTCTAATGTTCTGTCCACGGCGTCCCCCCCTCCTTGTCTTCCTCCAACGTTGTGACGAGGTCATAGGTCAGCATTCGCCATCTTGCTGACCTTGTCCTGCAGGTCCTGAGCACTAATTGGAGGCAGACACCCATCCAGAGGACATCCCTCCACCAGACTGTTCATGGGCGTTGGGGGAACTACACACTCGTCATCTGCGTCTCCAGGGCAACTGCCTCCATCCCACTCACTTAGGAAGTCTTTAATAAGTGGGAGGAGCTTTTTCCGGGACGCCAACGTGTTTCCTGAGAAGAAAACAAAAAAGAAACCAGGATTCTCAGCTGTTCACCCATTTCCCTTAGGCTCCACCCTCACCTGGAGAACCACGTTTTACCTTGCTGATAGGCTGACATGTGGGAGAGGGTGCTACTGACTGGACAGAGGTTGAAGGTGGGGTTATGGGCCTGTTCCAAATAGTGGCACACCTGGAGGAGGACGTCACAGATATCAGGACTTCAGCAAACAACCACTAGTTCTGTGTGTGTGTCTGTGTGTGTGTGTGTGTACCTGCTCCCTGCAGGTGGTGCTGTGGCTGAATACAGCCAACTCTCTAATTGGCTCGTTGCTCTCAGTGAAGGAAATTGTCATTAAGAGAAGCAAATCAAATCCAAATTTCTGAGAGAAAGCTGTAAGCTCCTCGTCCAATGCCACTGTCTGGAAAAACATCTGTCTCACACACAAACACACAACATTACAACACTGGAGCAGACAGCACAGCTGTGTCTGCATCTGTTGATAAACTGTTAAGTCCTTCAGCTGATTGGTTTACACTGTAGCTCAGCCTGTAGCTCTGACCTGCAGTTCTGCCTGCTCTGCCTGTAGCTTTGATTGTAACTCTGCTTTTAGCTCTGCCTGTAGCTCTGGATGGATCTACCCCTCCCTGGGCTGCCACCTTACCGTGGTGGAAGGGTTTGAGTGTCCCAATGATCCTAGGATCTATGCTGTCAAGGGCTTTACGCCCCTAGTAGGGTCACCCAAGGCAGACAGATCCTAGGTGAGGGACCAGACAAAGTGCAGCCCAAAGACCCCTTATGATGAGAAAAAGAAATGGACTTGATGTTCCCTCGCCCGGACATGGGTCACCGGGGCCCAATTCAGGAGCCAGGCCTAGAGGTGGGGCATGTGGGCGAGCGCCTAGTGGCCGGGCTTTTACCCATGGAGCTCGGCCGGGCACAGCCCGAAGAGGAGACGTGGGTCCCCCTTCCCATGGGCTCACCACCTGTAGGAGGGGCCAAAGGGGTCGGGTGCAATGTGGGATGGGTGGTGGCTGAGGTTGGGGACCCTTGGCGGTCTGATCCTCGGCTACAGACGCTAGTTATTGGGACGTGGAATGTCACCTCACTGGTGGGGAAGGAGCCTGAGCTGGTGTGTGAGGCTGAGAGGTTCCGGCTAGAAATAGTCGGACTCACCTCTACGCATGGCTCTGGCTCTGGAACCAGTTTCCTTGAGAGGGGCTGGACACTCTTCCACTCTGGAGTTGCCCCTGGTAACAGGCGCCGAGCAGGAGTGGGCATACTTATTGCCCCCATCTTGGTGCCTGTGTGTTGGGGTTCAGCCCGGTGAATGAGAGGGTGGCCTCCTTCTGCCTACGTGTGGGGGGACGGGTTCTGACTGTCGTTTGTGCTAATGCACCAAATGGCAGTTCAGATTATCCAACCTTTTTGGAGTCCTTGGAGGGGGTACTGGAAAGTGCACCTCCTGGGGACTCCCTTGTTCTGCTGGGGGGCTTCAATGCTCATGTGGGCAATGACAGTGAGACCTGGAGGGGTGTGTTCTGTGCTCGTCATGGATTGTTCATAACGAACACCATGTTCAAGCATAAGGGTGTCCAAATGTGCTCTTGGCACAAGGACACCCAAGGCCACAGTTCGATGATCGACTTTGTCATTGTCTCATCTGATCTGCGGCCACATGTCTTGGACACTCGGATGAATAGAGGGGCGGAGCTGTCCACTGACCACTACCTGGTGGTGAGTTGGCTCAGATGGTGGGGGAGGATGCCGGTCAGACCTGGCAGACCCAAACGTATTGTGAGGGTTTGCTGGGAACATCTGGCAGAGTCTCCTGTGAGACTCTGCCAGACTCTGTGAAACCAGCCATAAGTTCTGAATGTAGAGCTGACTCTAGTACAGCCTGTAGCACAAACTGTAGTTCTGACAGTAGCTCTTACTGTAATTCTGACTGTGGCTGTTATTGTAGCTCTGTCAGAACAACAGAAAGAGCTACAGTACTGACTGGAGCGCTGACTGTAGCTCTGCCTGTAACTGCATGTAGCTCTGAGTGTAGCTCACCTGTAGCTCTGCCTGTAACACTGGTTGTAGCACTGACTGTAACTGTGTGTAGCTCTGGCTGTAACTCTGCCTGTAGCGCTGACTGTAACTCTGACTGTAGCTCTGCCTGTATCTTTGTAACTCTGACTGTAACTATGTGAGTGTAACTCTGACTGTACATCTGACTGTAACTGAGTGCAGCTCTGACCATAACTTTGTAACACTGCCTGTAGCTCTGTCTGTAGCTTTGCCTGTAACACTTACTGTAGCTTTGACTGTAACTGCATGTAGCTCTGTGTGTAGCTCTGACTGTAACTCCATCTCACTGTACCTTTGTAACTCTGAGTGTAGCTCTGACTAACTTTGTAACTCTGCCTTTAGCTCTGCCTGTAACTGACTATAACTCTGACTGTAGATCTGACTGTACCTTTGTCTGTAGCTCTGACTGTAACTTTGACCGTAACTCTGCCTGTAGCCCTTACTGTACTTTTGCCTGTAGCTCTGACTCTAGCTCTGCCTGTAACTATGCCTATAGCTCTGACTGTAACTCTGTAACTGTGTCTGTAAAGCTGTAAATCTGAAGCTCTGACTGTAACTGCAATTAACTCTGAGTGTAGCTCTGAGTGTAGCTCGTCTGTTGCCCTGCATGTAACACTGGCTGTAGCTCTGACTATAACTGTGTGTAGCGCTGACTGTAACTCTGACTGTAGCTCTGCCTGTAACTTTGTAACTCTGAATGTATCTATGTGAGTGTAGCTCTGACTGTAGATCTGCCTGAAACTCCGTCTGACTGTAACTGAGTGCAGCTCTGACCGTAACATTGTCTGTAACACTGCCTGTAACACTGACTGTAGCTCTGCCTGTAACACTGACTGTAGCTCTGACTGTAACTGCATGTAGCTCTGTGTGTAGCTCTGACTGTAACTTGAACTGCCTGTAGTTAACTTTGACTGTAGATCTGACTGAAACTACATCTGACTGTAACTGAGTGTAGCTCTGACTGTAACTTTGTATGCAACTCTGCCTGTAACTCTGACTGTACTGATTGTAACTCTGACTGTACGTTTGCCTGTAGCTCTGACTCTATCTATGCCGGTAGCTATGTCTGTAGCTCTGACTGTAACTGCATGTAGCTCTGAGTGTAACTCGCCTGTAGCTCTGACTGTAGCTCTGACTGTAACTGCATGTAGCTCTGAGTGTAGCTTGCCTGTAGCTCTGCCTGCAACACTGGCTGTACCTCTGACTGTAACTGTGTGTAGCTCTGACTGTACATCTGACAGTAACTCTGTCTGACTGTGAGTGCAGCTCCAACCATAACTTTGTCTGTAACACTGACTGTAGATCTGACTGTAACTATGTATGACTGTAACTGAGTGTAGCTCTGACTGTAACTTTGTAACTCTGCCTTTAGCTCTGACTGTAGCTCTGGCTGTAACTTGACTGTAACTCTGCCTGTAGATCTGATTGTAACTTTGTCTGTAGCTCTGACTGTAACTCTGAGAGTAGCTCTGACTGTAACTCCATCTGACTGTAACTTTGTCTGTAACTCTGTGAATGTAGGTCTGGCTGTAGGTCTGACTGTAACTCCGTCTGACTGTAACTGAGTGTAGCTCTGACTGTAACTTTGTCTGTAACTCTGCCATTAAATCTGCCTGTAGCTCTGGCTGTAGCTGACTGTAACTCTGCCTGTAGATCTGGTTGTATCTTTGGCTGTAACTTTGTACATAACTCTGCCTGTAGCTCTGACAGTAACTAACTGTATCTCTTAATGTAGCTCTGACTGTACTGATTGTAACTCTGACTGTAGATTTGCATGTAGCTCTGACTCTAGCCATGCCTGTAGCTCTGCCTGTAACATTGTAACTCTGCCTTAGCTATGCCTGTTGCTCTGACTGTAACTCTGTCTGTAACAGCCTGGGGGAACCGAGAGGCCAGCCGAGTCTGGGTGGACGGATCAGACGGCATCTGCAGCCAGTTTCTTAGGATCCACTGTGGGATGGACCTTTACAAGAGATCCTTCCTGCCTACAGCCAGTATCAGTATCTGTAACATATCTCAATGAAATGAGGATAACGAGTTACAACAACAAATAATTTCCCTTTGGGATTAATAAAGTATTTTTGAATTGAATTGAATTGAACTTTGCCGGTAGCTCTGACTAACTCTGTAACTTTGTAACTGCTATCTGCCTGTAGTTCTGACTGTAGCTCGGACTACAGCTCTTACTGTAGTTCTGATTGTAGTAACAACTGTAGTACTGACTATCACGGACTGTAGCTTTGTATCAGGTACTGACTGTAGAACTGACTGTAGGATTTATTGTAGCTCTTACTGTATTACTGACTGTAGCTCTGACTGCAGCTCTTACTTTAACTCCGCCTGTAGCTCTGCCTGTAATTGCATCTGACTAACTCCAATTGTCTGTAACTCTGCCTGTAACTTTGTAACTCTTGACTGTAACTCTGTGAGTGTAGCTCTGACTGTAACTCTGTTTGACTGTAACTGAGTGTATCTCTGACTAGCTCTGACTGTAACTGTGTATGACTGTAACTGAGTGTAGCTCTGACTGTAACTTTGTAACTATGAGTGTATCTCTGACTGCAACTCTGTCTGACTGTAACTGAGTGTAGCTCTGACTGCAACTTTGTAATTCTGCCTTTGGCTGACTGTAACTCTGCCTGTAACTCTGCCTGTAGCTCTGATTGCGCCTTTGTATGTAGCTCTGACTATAACTTTGTATGTACCTTTGCCTGTAGCTCTTATTGTAAATTTGACCATAACTCTGCCTGTATCTCTGACTGTATATCTGCCTGTAGCTGACTGTAACTCTGCCTGTAGCTCTGCCTGTATATTTGTAAGTAACTGTGCCTGTAGCTCGTACTGTAACTTTGACCATAACTCTGCCTGTAGCTCTGACTGTAATGCTAACTGTATCTCTGCCTGTAGCTTTGCCTGTAGCTCTGATGCTAGCTATTCCTGTAGCTTTGACTATACCTCTGACTGCACCCCTGCTTGAAGCTCTGACTGTAACATTGTCTGTACCTATACCTGTAGCTATGCCTGTTGCTCTGACTGTAAATTTATCTGTAACTCTGACTGTAGCTCTGACTAACTCGGACTGTAGCTCTTACTAACTCCAACTGTAACTTGACTGTAGCTCTGACTGTAACTTTGTCTGTATCTTTGACTGTGACTTTGTCTGTAGCTCTGACTGTGACTTTGTCTGTAGCTCTGACTGTGACTTTGTCTGTATCTGTGACTGTTCTCTGCTTGCAGTTCTGACTATAGCTCTTACTCTAGTTCAGACTGTAGCTGTTACTGTAGCTTTCATTGTGGCTCTTAATGTAGCAACAACTGTAGTTCTGACTGTAGCTTTTACTGTAACTCTGACTGTGGCTGTTATTGTAGCTCAATCAGAACTACAGCCAGACCTACATTACTGACTGTAGTACTGACTGTAGTGCTGACTGTAGCGCTGATTGTAGCGCTGATTGTAGCTTTTACTACGATTCTGACTGTAGTTCTGATTTTAGTAATGACTGTAGTACTGACTATCATTGACTGTAGCTTTGTCTCAGGTACTGACTGTAAATGACCAATACTGACTGTAGCTCTGATTGTAGAATTGATTGTAGCTCTTACTGTATTACTGACTGTGGCTATTACTGACTGTAGTTCTGACTGTGGCTAGATTCAGAGCTACAGTCAGTGAAATTATCAGAACTACACTAAAAATTACAGTCAGAACTACAGTAAACGTGATAGTCAACACAAGAATTAGAACTGCAGTACTGACTGTAGTACTGACATTAGCACTGATTGTTGGACTGACTCAGGTAACAAATGCAAAACAGATATACCTCTAGAGGGATGTAGAGAACAGAGATGGCAACATTCAAACTTCCTGAAACTGCTTTCATGTCCTTCAACAGCATCTGCTCTGTGTTCAGACCTGAAGACCAAAACACCCAGAAAAAAATGAATAAATACTCGAGAAAATATAATCAAATATTTCAAGGAATACTGTACCAACTTTATGTTCATTTAGGATGAAAACACTAGTTTTCCTGTAGTACAAATTAGAGCTTGACTGACATAGAAATTTTGGCTATCACCAATTCCGATATTGGGCAGACAATGCCGATAACCGATGTAATGGCTAAAAACATTTCAGCTTTGTCCACCCCCAAGAATCTAGATAAACTGCTACTTTTAAACTTGTATAAAGGCTGAATGAAAAAAAAAAAGTTTTAATGCTTGAAGTCTTGAAACAGTCTCCCTAACATCAATCAACCTTTATTTCTACAAGTAAATCCCATTGAGCCTCGAGGACTCATTTACAAGAGAGACCTGATTTCAACAAAGAAAGATGACAACATTGGACAACAGCAACAACAATAAACAGTTATAAAAACTCATACTACAGTTTTTTTTTTTTTTTTTTTTTTTTTAACAAATAGGATGGCTAAAAGGAAAAAGGTAACAAAACCAAAAAAACAGCTAGATTCTAAGGCGAATGTATAAAACTAAAAACAGGAACATGTCTGCATTGGTTCCTGCCAGGAGTCCAACAGATGTTTAAAGCCAACATGCATTCACATTTTCTATCTTCCACTACTCACCATAAAATTATAAAGTTTGTTACAAAAAATATAAACTAAACAAAGAAACACCTTCCCTGTTCATTGTTTAAACACCTCCACCGCTACCTGTTGTTCTAGGAACATAATCATTTCAATAATTAGCAGGAGTGGATTCATTGATAGAGGAGTGGATTGCTCTCTCCAGGTTGAGGGTGAGGTTCTGCCTCAAGTGGAGGAGTTCTAGTATCTCATGGTTTTGTTCACAAGTGAGGGAAGAATGGAGTGTGAGATTGACAGACGAATTAGTGCAGCGTCTGCAGTATTGCGGACTCTGTACCGGTCCGTTGTGGTGAAGAGAGAGCAGAGCTGTAAGGCAAAGCTCTCTGTTTACCGGTCGGTCAACGTTCCTACCCTCACCTCTGGTCATGAACTCTGGGTAGAGACTGAAAGAATGAGATCACGGATACAGAGGTTGAAATGAGTTTCCTCCGCAGAATAGCTGGACTCTCCCTTAGAAATAGGGTGAGAAGTTCAGTTATCCGGGAAAGACTCAGAGTAGAACAACTACTCTTCCACGTCAAGAGGAGCCAGTTGAGGTGCTTTGGGCATCTGGTAAGGATGCCCCCTGGGCACCTCCCTAGAGATTATGAAGCATAATTTACTGTGAAAGCAAACAGTTATCAGTTTTAATCTGGTGCCAGGGTTGGTCTGAACAACCTGTCAAAAAATGGTTAATAGTTACACAGATAAATATTCTCATCTTGAATTTCACCCCTGCTTTTCCAGGGACTTTTATAAAAAAATTTTTTTATTATACTAGTACATAGTGTATTTTTAGTTAACGTTATTCCTAGTTCATATCCTAGAGCTTAATACAGTTAATCTTTTAGAGTCAAATACTTCTGTTGGATGCAACTGGGGCCCTGTGTACACAATTTTGTTCCACCACATGAGGTGAGTATGACGAATAAAGAATCCTGAATCCTTGAACCTTGAATTCTAGTTAACAATAGCAATAATAATAACAATAATAATAATAATCTCTCTCCTTTTAAGAGGATTATCTGCATAAGGGAGGGAATTATAAGCAATCAAATTCCATATATTATCATAAATATTATTCTATTTAGTAAATAGTAAATGGTAAATGGACTGTACTTATATAGCACCTTTCTATCTTATCGAGATACTCAAAGCTCTTTACAACAATCTGTGCCTCATTTACCCATTCATACAGCTCTATACTAGATCTCTACAAAGCTAACTGAACAAATCATTCTAAGGAGAATAATCAGAGCTTTATCACATTCAGACACTGATGGGACACACATCAGAGGCTATGAGGGGTTCAGTGTCTTGCCCAGGGACACTTCAGCATGTGACCGCTGGTGGATTCGAACCCCCAACTCTCGCATTGGAGGATGACTGCTCTAACCACTCAGCCCCCCCCCCCCCCCCCCCACACACACACACACACACATCCCGTAGCTTGATTAGTAAATTTGGTTCATTTTGACTGCCTGATTTGCTCCTTAGGATCAAAGGATATTTAACCTTTATAGATATATGTCATTCTAGATGGTTGCATTCTGCTAATCAATTTATCACAATCTTCCCCAGATTCTTTTACCCTGGTTGTTTTAATTTTATAGACGTGTTTGATTTCCCTGATTTGTTTAATTTATTTCCACCTGTAATAATTTTGAATCTTGCAAGATGGAACATAGGTTGAAATACAAGCAGGCACAACTTTTACATAATTCGTCTGCAAGTATGTTCACCGAGAGCCTACAAAGTGTTTTATTAATTTTAAATAACGTTTTCAGACAAAGGCACGGTCAGACGACTCTGGCAGCCTCCCTGCTTATCTAATGCCCCTTTTCCACCGTCACAGAGCGGATCAGATCAGTTCGGGTTGGTTCAGATCGGTTCGGGTCTGTTGTGTTTCCATGTACATTTCTGGACCGGCTCTGTAGGCGGGGACTAGAATCCAACTGGTCTTACCACCTGGTGGCGGTAGTGCTCCCTTAAGCTACTTACTAGCCACCACTAAACGTATTAGAAGAAGAACACCCTGAAGGTTTTGTCACAAGGTGTTGTGGAAGAGATGTCATGCTCTAATGGAGTACCTCATGAGCTGTAACTTTTAAACCTGATTCATAATCCTACCTTACTGCCTTCCTGCCTGCTTTAAACCCATGTGTTTTTCATTTTAGTATAGATTTTTATAATAAAGATGTATTAAAAATTCTTCACTTTTATTATTTGCAGATATGCACAAGGTTCATGTTAAAATTGCAAAACATCACACTGTGCTGTAATCTTTGAAACTGCTTTTACAATAAGATACAGACTTGAAAACAATTAGATTAAATTTTGTCCTTAAATTTTAAAGATTTGTCTTTCATTAAATTAAAACATACATTTATTACTTATTAATCTAAAAAAGTTAAGTCTGGTCCTCTGGACATTCAAAAAACAAAACTAACAAAAAACATTTAGTTTATTTATTATAAACTGTATTGTTTGTTTTGTGAATGTCCAGAGGACCAGACTTAACTTTTTAGATTTTTCTACCTGGATTATTGAGCAGCATCAGGATATTAATTAATAAATAGTCAGTTGGTTTGTGAACACCATGGGGTCCTAGAAGAGTTGAAGAGGAGGATGTTGATGTCTGTGCCTCCCTGGTGAAGATGCTGCTCCCACAACCCTGAAGCAGAAGAGGATGGATGGATGGATGATGGATGGATGGATGGATGGACGGACGGATGGATGGATGGATGGATGGATGGATGGATGGATGGACGGGTGGCGAAGGAGGAGACCATCAAACAGCAGGAGTGGTCAGTTCAGGTGAACTCCTGCTGTTTGCTTCAGATCAGCTGTTCAAATCTCTGCAGGTTCAAATAAAAGGTGCACCAGGACTTTCAGCTGAATCTCTCAGGCCACAGTTGTATGGCCAATAATTGATAACTGTCCTTTCTGAATTTTTGACTGTTTTTGTGTCACTTCATCCTAGAACCAAAAAATTATAACATAATAACAGTTGAGCAGATACTAGTAATCTTTTCTTAGGATCCATTAAAGATCAAATGCAATTGGAAATTCTTCTCAACTTCCAGTATGAATTTAAACAAACACTATATGAACTTAACATTGTAAAATTTGTTTAGGAAATTTAATGTTCAAGGACACCACTTAAGAAAAAAAATTTTTAATAGGAAAAGTAAGAAGTGAAAAATGTACAAAAATAAAAACTACTGCGTCCAACTAATGATTGTGTATCTGTGTGTCCCTTGTCTCACGGGCTTCATCCAGAAGAAGACACAAGTGTTGTTCCTGCTGTGTCCGCTTCAGTTCTTCATGTTCATTCAGTGATGGAATAAGACTTTTCTTTACTGGACTCTTTTCTCTTTCTCTTCACTAGAAAGAAGAAACAGGTGGTTAATTCAAGCTACATACTGTTTTTGAATAAATGCATGAAACAAAGAAAGGTGCTGCTAACAGCTATAATAGATATATTAATAATTATAAACTGATCAAATAAGAAAATGAAAAATAAATTGATTTAAAAATAATGAAAATGATAATAATGGATATATGAATCAGAAAGTATACAGATGCAGATATTCTTTGTCATTCGCACCACATGTGGTCCATGTGGTGGATCAAAATTATGTTCACAGGGTCCCAGTTACATCCAACAATAAAATATAAAAGAAAAACAGTAATAAGATCTAAGATATGAACTAATAAAAACATCAACTAAAAATATAAGCTCTAATAGCATAAAAACATTAAACACAATACGCAGAACAGCAGCACGGACATGAGTCTGTGTGAACTGATGAGCACGAATGAACACAGCAACATGAAACAGATCAGCAGCAACATGAAACAGATCAGCAGCAACATGAAACTGATCAGCAGCAACATGAAACTGATCAGCAGCAACATGAAACTGATCAGCAGCAACATGAACCTGATCAGCAGCTACATGATGTGATTCTTCACAGTGTTATATATTCATGAGGCTGCACAAACTCAAGTTCATGTTGCTGTTTGACGTATTGTTTTGATTGTTTACTGCTATTAGTGCTTAGTGTTTTATTAGTAGATGTTTTTTAGTTGATATTTTTCTTAGTTCATATCTTAGATCTTATTACTGTTTTTATTTTACGTTTTGTTGTCTGTAACTGGGACCCTGTGTACATAATTTCATCCCAATTCAGAATTTATTCAACATTTTAGTTTTTTACTTTAAAAATAAAATAAATCAAGTCCTTATCGGCACAAATAAAGTGATGTGGAACATGTTGCATCTGTTCTTACCGAGCACAGAAGCTGCAGCGTTGTGCTGCTCTGT